GTATGCTGAGTACGACTACTTTGCAGTGAGCAGTGAAAGGAACAAGTACAAACTGAGCCTTGGAACTTATTCAGGTGAGTAAAATAACTTAGTGCTCACTATTAAGAAAGAAGGGAAAAGCATTTGAAAGCGTTTGTTTCTCTCTTGACTAAGTCATAGATTGACTTTAACATCTATTTATATAATTATCGTTTTCACACAGGTACTGCTGGTGACTCGCTGTCCTACCATCGTGGTATGGCCTTTACCACCAAAGATCGTGACAATGATGCTGATAGTGGAAACTGTGCAGTGACCTACAATGGTGCCTGGTGGTACAAACATTGTCACTGGTCTAACCTGAACGGCCTCTACCTTCATGGGAAACTTAGACATGATGGAGTTACCTGGTATCACTGGAAAGGCTACCACTACTCTGCTAAGAGAGCCGAGATGAAGATACGACCTGTATAAAATATTTGTTGTCGTACCACTCTAAATATCACCGAAACGATAAGAATCAAGCTCTTTAGTATAAAAATAACTACACTATTGATTATGAAGAATGTAAAAGATAAAATTCCATTAGCATCACGCATTGTTTGTCGACGAAAATCTTGAAGAATTCAAAAATTAAAATAAATTGCTGCAGCATGGAAAATGGTGGTTGATTGATTGAATAGAGATTGCTCATTTCCAAAGTTTTTTAATCTCATCTCAAATCATACATACACTGAATCAGATTTACATCAAAATACAACCATAGACCAAATGGACATGGTAACATTGAACAATTTGGGAGTTCGTTGCTGTTTTCTTTCTTTTTCTTTTATAATTATTTTTACACAATTTCATACTTCGTTAGCGACGCATTTCTGTCAACCTTGTATACAAAATATAAATTAGTTTGCAAATAAAACTAGTTTGTTGATAAAGTTGACTTCAAAATGTTATCGTACTTTAGCCTAACACAGGCAACCCAGTAATTATTGCCACATATGTATATCTTCTACCGCCAGTTAGCTAGATCACAAAACAAGAGTCGTGCCCAACACACGCCCTGTATTACCCCTTGACACAAATAAGGTTCTACCACGTTGATAATTTGAAAAACCTTTTTGATACTTAGTCTGTTTGAATTTTATTCAGCTGTTTACAGGTTTGAACAGAAAAATCCTCGGTAATAACCAGCAGATCTTGATATTTGGCCCCAAGCCATGTCGTTGAATGAAACAGATGTTGCAGTCGTTGAGAAGGCAGTTCAAGAAGCTCTCGAGCAGCTAGA